AAACGGATATATCTGACCACTTCCCAATTTACTTCTCACTATCACAACAAGCAACACGTGTCAATAACTTGAAAATAAAAATCATCAAAAGAAGCATAAATAAATTCTCGACCCAAAAACTAAAAGACTCACTAGCGGTAGTAAATTGGTCAAAAATATATCATGAATGTAACCTCGGACACACAAATTCCGCTTACAATAATTTTATAAATATTTTCCTAAATCTCTACAATAAACATTTTCCAAAGGTCGAAAAAGAAATTAAAGCAAAATACCTAACCACTCCATGGATTACCCAAGGAATAAGAAAATCGTCAAAACAAAAACTCTACATAAAATATCTAAAAAATAGAAACCATTTTAATTTGTCTAAGTATAAACAATATAAAAATCTATTTGAAAAAATAAAATTAAAATCCAAAAAACTATATTTTTCAAAGCAAATACAAAAATTTAAAGGAGATAATAAAAAAATCTGGGATATTATAAAAGAAATAATTGGTAAAGATAAAAAAAACTCGAACCAACTACCTCCAAAAGTTCTCATAAGTGAAAAAGAGTTTAATAATAAAAAAATTATCTCTGAAAAATTTAACAAATACTTTGCAAGTATAGGTTCCAAACTCGCCTCTAAAATTCAACCTACAAACAATTCATTTGAGAATTACATCGAGGACTCTCGTTGCTCCCTAGTTTTTAAAGAACTAGAATACGAAGAACTTGAAACAGCAATTAAAACATTAAAAATTAACAAAGGTCCAGGTATCGACAATATCCCAGCCAATATTATTTTGAATGTCTTCCCAGAAATAAGTAAACCCATTTTTCAAATATTTAACTCTTCAATAATTACAGGAATTGTACCCGACTATTTAAAAATAGCTAAAATTATTCCTATCTATAAATCCGGAGATACATCTTTCTTAAATAATTACAGACCAATATCAATCCTTCCCGTATTTTCAAAACTGCTCGAACGAATAATCTACAATCGTTTATATAAATACCTAACCACAAACAAAATCCTTAATGAAAACCAATATGGTTTTCAAACTCAGCACTCGACAGAGCATGCTATCGTAGACCTCGTCAATAGAATTAGTAAATCAATCTATGAAAAGAAGTTCGTATTAGGAGTCTTTGTAGACTTGTCAAAAGCGTTCGACACAATAAATCATGAAATCCTACTAAAAAAGTTGGAAAAATACGGATTAAAAAACCATACACTGCAGTGGTTTAAAAGTTACCTGTATAACAGACAACAATGTCTTATTACAGATGATAATTACCACAGTAAATTATTAAAATTAACTTGTGGTGTTCCTCAAGGCTCGATTCTTGCTCCTCTTTTGTTCCTAATCTATATAAACGACCTTCCAAAAGTTTCTAGCAAACTCGAATTTATAATGTTTGCAGACGATACAAATTTATTTTACTCTTCGACAAACATCAAGGATCTGTATGATAATGTAAACATAGAACTCCAAAAATTAAATATATGGTTTAAAACAAATAAGTTATCGCTAAACATAGAAAAAACAAAATACACTTTATTTCACTCAAACCAACAAAGAAACACACTACCAAATATTCTACCCTCTCTAAAAATAGAAAATATAGTAATTGAGAGAACTCACGAAACTAAATTTTTAGGAGTTATAATTGATGAAAATTTATCTTGGAAAAGTCACATAAATGCTTTAAACACTAAAATATCAAAAAACATAGGTCTACTTTATAAAGCAAAACCTATGCTGTCGCAAAGTAATTTAAAACTTATATATTTCTCTTTTATACACAGCTACCTCATATATGCGAATATAGCTTGGGCGAGTACGCATATAACCAAATTGAAAACTTTATATCGACGTCAGAAACATGCTGTTAGACTTATCTACCATAAAGACAAATTTACACACACTGAACCCTTATTTAAAGAAATGAATGTGCTTAATATTTATCAAATTAATATTTACCAAAATATATTGTTTATGCTAAAATTTAAATTAGGTCAAGTACCAAACCATTTTTTAAATAACTTTTTTATAAATAACGTTAATAAATATAACACAAGAGAAAAAGGAAACTTTATTACACCTTTCAAAAAAACAAAACTTTCCCAGTTCTCAATTTCATATCGGGGTCCTTATTTATACAACAAACTAGTAACTAAAAATAAATCAATCTGCAATCTAGATTCAATTTGCAATCAAAATTTCTTGAAAAAAAAGTTAAAAAATCTGATACTGAATCTAAACAGATACTCAGAATTCTTTTAAGACTATAAATTAAAATACATATATATCAACTACAAAGTGAACTGACTCGTTTATGTGTATTATCTAAATGAATCTTTTTTTTTTCTCAAATTTCTCAAACAATATATCAAAATGTGTTTATTACACACAAAAAAAACACTTGATTTTTTCTTGTCAAGTTTAGTTATTATGCTGCTAGTTATGTCTAATATTTTATACTGAGCTTATTTTGAGTTTATTTTTTATTATGAGCTAAATTTAAAGAATATATAAACATAGTTGTACTTAATATATAATTATATTTAACATAATCATAATAATATATCAAACACATTGTAAGGGCTTCGTGATAAGATCATTACGATCTTCTTGAAGTCCGGCCTGTACTATTTAATTATAAATTTCACTATATATATTTTGACTCACGAGACTTGTAAATATTAATTTACGAAACTTGTAAATGTTATATGTACGGCAAATATATGAATAAAAAAAAAAAAAAAAAAAAAAAAAAAAACACGTCATTATATGAGCATTATTGTGCATAAAAATGGAAGTCATTATAATCTTGAATTTGTACTTGTCATCAGGAGTATGTCATCTGAAAAAGTTGTTGAGATAGTAGGTGAAAAGTTGAGTGAATTCAAACTGGAATTTGATAATGATGTTGTTAGTACAACTACAGATCGTGCATCTGTTATGGTCAATTTTTGTCGTTTAATCTACCCTCTATATTACATCTGCTATGCCCATGCAATCCATTTAGCTGTAGGGAATGTACTTTATGTGAATTTTTAGACCAAAACAAATACTTTTAAACAAACTTAGGAGTAACTTAAATAATGCCTTCTGCTTCTGAAAAAGTTACTACAAAAATAATTTTTGAAAAAGCTACTACAAAAATAATAAAAATGATAGAACTAAAATAGGTTTGTTGATATGAAATGCTACAAAAAATCTATTTCACAAAATTAACTGTGGTTATATATACTTTTTTTTTTCAAGTTAAAATTTAATGCGTATTTAGGTCCGAATCCAAATCTTAAAAATATCCGGATAGGATCTGGGTCCGAATTATTTTGCCAGATCCGTTATGCCCCAACTGTGACACACATTTTCAATAAAAACTAAAAGCAAGAGTACCAGGATTAATCTAGAATAAGTTCTAAAATGAAGTTTTAATTTTTTGCATAAATATTCTTAAAAGCTTTAATCATCAATTTGAGCATCAATATCCTTCACCGTCTTCAGCTTGCTCACTTTATTTAAATTAGATTGATGTTAAAATGTAATCATAAATAGACATGATTTTTTTATTAACAGGGAATTGCGCTAACAATTTTTTTTATTAGACAGGGAAAAAAATTGCGCTAACAATTTTTTTTCCCTGTCTAATAAAAAAATTTGTATAATAACTGAATCCAATATGACAGTTTAATTTTTTTTTAAACGCTATGGTCGCTGAAATGCTTTCTATCTTTAAAGTACTAACAAAAACTTTAACAAGTTGTTACGAACTTAACACAAGACATCGTGAACTATAAAAGTCGTTGTAAACTTAATGATAATGCGACATCATTAAGTTTAAATTGTTGTTATAAATAAATTGGTATTAATAAATGAGGGGATTTTTCCTAAAGCAGTCACGTTGGCTAGGGTATGTCTAGTTTGCAAAAATAATGATCAATCAGTTATTTATATTATATTTATATTGTATCGGCGTTAAAATTATGTCTAGAATTACCTCGTTAGAAGATGACATATAAAAATATCTTTATCACTTGTTACTTATAACTTAGGTTTCAATACAGTAAAAAAAACATTCTGTAGTATATAACACTACCAATAACTAAATTTTTTCAAAAGGTGGAGATAATTTTAACATCGCAAGATAATTTTAACATCGCAATATGTCAACTCTTTCTGTATTCTTAACCATTAAACACAAATTAATCAAAATGCTACACCAAGCTCCTAGCGATTTTAATAATAATATCCACACTTGATTTATCAAAAGCATTACATATGGATATTGATCGTTCTAATTTATTTTAGAAAAAAGAATTACTTCTTACCTATCTCGACGACTTAGCTATTATCAACTTAAAATCAAGCGGTTTTTACATTTATATATCTGATAATACTGCCTAGTACCGAGTAAGTTAAAAGCATTGATTATAAAATTAGCCTCAAAATTAAAAAAAAATCAAAAAATTTATAAATGATTTACTTATAAGTTAGCATATTTTTCCAAAAATTTTCTAATTTTCCAAAAATTTTCTAAGCTAATTTTTTTAAATGTCTCTAGATTTTTTATAAATTTTGATATAAAGCCCTCATTAGACACCAATGTAAATAGAAAAGTTTACAAATATACCTGGTAGTTATTTTATTTACATAATAAATAATCATTTACCTCAACATAACCTGGTAGTTATTTTATTTACCTCAAACATAACCTGGTAGTTATTTTATTTACCTCAAACATAACCTGGTAGTTATTTTATTTACCTCAAACATAACCTGGTAGTTATTTTATTTACCTCAAACATAACCTGGTAGTTACTTTAAAAGTTTAATTATATCTGAATAATATACAAAACCTCGGGCAGTAAACAAAAAAATTAATAAAGAATTTAAAAAGTATTTGAATTAATAAATATGGAAGCATTATAAATTTTTAAACAATATTTGGTTCAGAAGTTGTGAAACCATTTCACATTGATTGTGTAATTGTAAAAATTAAAGAAAATGTTAAATTTTTTATATGATGTAATAAAGTTTACATTTAATTAACAAATATAAATACTATTTTGTAAGTGTTCCTTTCGAAAGTATTCCACCATGAAACATTATTAAAGTGATATTCACCAATATTTAACGATATCATTGATTAATCTCTGCAAAAGATGATTGGATAATATCCTCCAGATAAAAAGATGATTGGATAATATCCTCCACATTTAAAAAAACCAGTATTTTACTTTTTTTCAAGTACTTCTTTTAGAGTTCATCCAGAGTTAATTATCTCAGAGATTAAACTTTTTATCTTACTTGGAGATAAAATTATCTCATTTAAAGATTAAATTATCATTTAATCTTTACACCGATCCGACTTGTTGAGGGGCGGCATCAATGATAGTTGGTATTGGTTTTTTATCTGGTTCCATGCATGTTCCACTTGGGTATTTTTCTTTGAAACGCTTTACTACACTTGGTTCAATCAAGTTGACCCCAGATAACTGGTTGCCAAGAGTAATCCTATAAGTTCATGCATAGTATTATATGGTGTATTTTATTAAAAGAATACATATAAAAAATCGAAATAAACAGGCATTACAGAAAAACGTATTAAATTTAATGAATACTTGCCAGTTAGGTTGGACGTTGTGCTGTCGACCGAATATTTCTATAGTAAGAAAAAAAATTAAAAAATCTTAAATAAATTTTATAAAAAAAGTTTCGATTTACAAAATGTTAAAATATCGCATATAAATAATTATGAAATTCATGAAATAGAAAAAATCATACACTTTTCAAAATAAATAGCTTTTAAACGGTGGATCTATTGACAATAAGAAAGTCATCATGGTAACCTAAAACTTTAAGTAATTTGAAACTGTTTACTTAAACTTAGACAGATTTTCGGCTTTCTATTTCAATTTTAGATTTTCTATTTCAATTTTAGATTCCAGACATAGAACAAACTCCAAACATTTAAAATTTTAACCTAAGGCAAACAAAGATGCTTTGCAAAAACCTGCGATGATTGGAGCCTGGCAACAAAAAAGCTCCAAAATATTTACCGCCCCTGTCCCAAACGTGAGAGCAACAAGTTTATAAAAATTTTTTTGATGAAAATTTATTGATGAATATAAATGTAGTTGAGAATAGTACAAAAAATATTTTATCAACTTGTTGCTCTCACGCTTGGGGCAGGGGCGGCAAATTTTGGGGCTATTTTGTTCCCAGGCTTCAATAATCGTAATATTTTGCAAAGCATCCTCCTGTGACATAAGTATAAATATATAAATGTTTAGAGTCATCTCAAACACCAAAAAATGCTGGATCGGCTCCTGTAGCTCGATAACCTAAGATAGATTTGATGAAAGATTTTCCAAAAAGTTTATTTCAACTCGTATTTCAAGTTTATTTCGCGGTAAAACACGTGAACTTTTTGAAACGTGATTTAGACTAAAAAACATTTAAAGTTTAAAACTCAAAAAATAAAAATAAAAAAATAATTCAAAATATAATTTCATAAAATTGTTGCACTTGATTAAGTTAAAATACATATACAGATTAAGTTAAAAATATCTTTTTTATATAATTTTTAGTAATTTTAGTTCACAAAATTATTATATTACATTAAAAATATTTTAATTTTTTGTAATTTTAGTTGACAAAATTATTACATTACATTAAAAGTTTAAATTTTTAATTATATAAAAAAAATAATAATTCTAAAAGTTTTTCAATTCTCACAACATAAAACTTAAGAACTTAAGTTACCAAAACCTTGTTAATATCAAGTCGCAATATATAGTAACATTTATTAAGATATTACATTTAGATATACCTAACTTTCGCTGTCCAGGTGCTAAACGCTCTATCAGTCCATATATTTCATCAGGTTTATGACTTGTATCACGAACCTAGCAAATAAAATGTTTTAAAACAATATATCTTAAATTTTATTATGATAAAATAATCCGATTTTTAAAAAAATAACCTCTGAAACTAGAACATCACAGTCTAATCCTTTATTGAAAATAGAAGAATCAGGCCTGCCTTTAACACCAATCTAATAAAAATTAACGTATTTTGAAAATGAAACATAGCATGTATATTATACTTTAACAAAAATATAGTGCAACTCATAGACACATATAAAAAAAAATCAGCAAATAAAGCAAACAAAAATCATACAATACAGTGTTCTTTTCCGTGGTTGATCCAATGCCCAGTTCGCCCAGTTCTAATTAAGCGTTGCAGCTGATTGGTTTTCACCCAAATCAATTCATCTACTCGTTTATACCTTTAAAATCAATTTGTCTGCTTACTAACTTCGTTTATATAGTTATAATTAAAGAACCCTTTACTTTATTTATCATAAATTTTATATTAAATTTATTTAAATTTAATATAAAAAAATTACATTTAATCAAATTTTCAAGACATAAACTTTAATAATAACAATTAAAGAATAACTTTAAAAAAATCATTACCCCCAAACTTTTTAAATAACTTTAAAATCATTACCCCCAAACTTCCAAACATTCTCGACCTAGTTCAATAGCTCTGAAATTTATTATTGAAAAAGTATTTTAAATATAAAAACTATTAACAAATAAAAAAAATCAATAGACAAAGTAATGAAGTGTCTGTTTTTGTCTATTTCTTAAATCATTAAATAAAAAAAAAAAAAAAAAACATAAATTAAGTTAAAGATTTTCTATAACCTTCCAGTAACCCAGAGAAAGATGTATCCATCATCTTGAAGCTTTCCAACTTGCAGCTGCTTCATTTCATGATCAGCCATTGTTCCATACGGAAGCTTAAATGCAAAAACAAGAAAAGTTAATGATTTTTATTTAACAAAAAGTTTACGAACAATAAATTTAATAAAATAGTAATAAATAAATGTTATAACAATAAGTATAACAGTTTCTGATCAAAATTATTATTTTTAATAAAAAGAGATCGTCATACCTCCATATGAATATCCCAGGGTGGATCAGCCATTATAACACTAAATTTTCCAATAACATCCAAGTCCAAGGTTCGAACATCACATTGAATCCACTGACAAAATAGATTTCAAAACTTATGTTTATTTACAAGCAACATTTTAAAAGAGTGTCATAAAGCAGATATCTTATAACACTGATAGATATCTTATAACACTTATAACACTCAAAAAATAACCATTAAATAACTAAAGTAACCTTGACAACATTACCTGAGGTGGCATCAACATAATTTTTCCTCCTAATAAATCTGTTTTCTAAAAGTAAAATAAATATATATATAATATACATATATAAACATACAGCTATATATACATATATATATATATATATATATATATATATATATATATATATATATATAGCAATTTTTAAAAAATATATAAAAATAAACAAAACAACAGTAGCATATGATAGTAATAAAATTGTGATAGCATGTTTAACACAAACATAGTACACCACAATATTACAAAAGCCTATGGAACAAATCAACAAATAATGAGTTCAAAATAAGTTTTTGGAAAACTTTTTATAAAATCTATATAATAGCGCTGATCGAAAAAAAACTTTTCAACAATAAGTGTGTAATATTTTAAAGACTATTTACGGCTAATTTTTTTTTACTTACTTTTACTTACTTTTTTTTTCATATCAGGATTTTTTTGCTGATAAAGATTTTAAAAATCCTGATCTTCAAAACAGATTTTCAACACTGCAACACCAAGATTATCATTAATAACAGTTGTAAGAAATTGCTTTAACTTATTCATGTCATGTTTATACGAGAAAGTTAATAAAAAACCATTCTTGAATATAATCTCTTTTCTGTGACAGCTTGGTACTTGCAGTGGCTGGTGAAATTTTACCTGAAACTCAATTCTTTATTGATGATAATTATTGCAAAATTGTTGATATTAATATAAATGGCAACATACTTCAGTCCTCTACTTTAGTTATCTAATTTGTCTTTGATCTTTCACTGCTGACCTCTAAGGGATACCAAAACTATTACCAAAAGGATATCTAAACTATTGCATAGTTAATACCTACAAAGGCTTCTTATTAGCATGTTTTTTTTTACTTGTGATTCCATTCTCTACCTCTATAAACTTTCCATTCTTGTACATAATGATGTGGGTTCTACTAATGACTTTATCATCATTTAATGAGTTAAATGAAAATATACTTTTTAGAATTATATCATAAATTTCAAAATAAAGAATATTAATTTTTATTTTTTTTTTTCCTTAGTATTTTCTTAATCTATTTTATTTAAAACTTTACACTTTTGATAGTGATACTTTGTATTCAAATGTTTTTTCCGGTAAAAATATTTATGGTAAATAAAAATCTTGCATGTCTTGTCATTCAGCAATATCATATTATTTAACAATAACATTTTTAATCATTCTTTGAAATACTTTTATTCCACAGGCTTGTACGTCAATTGTATGGAACTCTCATACTTGCCTAAATCATACTATTTAAAATTTTTGAAACCTTCTGTCAACAATTTTCTTTCTCTTTAACCTCAGAAACTCTGAAAAATGTTTTTCAAATAATTTCCAACTTAAAACTGGTTGCTTGCTTGAAAGCATCAAAATGAACTTTTGAAATGCTTTATGACAATCGTGCTTTGAATAGATCCCTGTTTTATTTCTTGTAAAATTCTCTACCTTTATTACCTGTTCTTATTGTTCCCCGTTTCCCATAGAATTTGGAGTAGTTCCAAATAATACCTGTATTTTTTATGTCTTTGTTAAATAAAATTTATAATTAATTTAAAAAAAAGTGTGTCCCATTTGATTACAAGATTACATATTGTTTAAATTCTTCCAATACCAAAAACTGTTACTACAAAAATACAGAAATCAGAATGGTAAAAATTACTAAAAAACTTGGTTCTAATGAATTAACATTTTTTTAATTCTAATGAATTAACATTTTTTTAAGCTATGGGATCATTCATAAATTATGCAATGCTAAATTTATTTAAAAAACAGAAATAGGAGAGATCTTAAGCTCTTTTATATGGTTTTCATAAAACTATTTTGATTTTCATTTCGATTTCACTAAACTTAATAGGCAATTTTGATTTTTTATAACTAAAAGCTAGGGAAAATTTTGATCTTCTTTGTTTTGTTTATTAGTGAAATTTAGTGCTGCATTATTTATGGAAGACCCCTATGCTGGCACACAATTTCAGACTGGAAATAATACTTTGCTTAAAAAATATCTAGACTACTGAAATAAATGATATAAACATAGTATAATTTTATTCTATTAAGTTTTTATTTTTACTATTGAATCTTACTAAATTAAAAGGTGTTTATAGGCTTGCTTTTAAAAAAGTTATTTTTGGAAGAAAATACTTTCAGTACAGTAGTCTCTTGCTTAATTGCACAAATTGAAACAGGCACTGTGGTGCACAATTAACTAGGAATGCACAAATAAGAAAAAAATTAAAAAAAAAATTTAGCAAACTAAATTATTAACTATATCAACAAATCTTTATTAAGAAATATATTATGCATGACGGAAAAAGTTATGAATTGTAAGCTGATATGCATTCTGCAGCTTTTCTCGTTTAATTTTCATAATTACTGACCGTATGTTTGATGATAGTTGTTCGTAGCTTTTCATTAATTTATCGTTATCGTCTCTTAAAATTGCTTTAGTTTTTTGACATTTTAATTGCCTGCCAATATCAATAGATAAATATATAAATTCAATACCTAAGAAGTCTGTACCATGGTCTATCTCATCATTATTAGATACTCCTTCATCAGAATTGTTATCCATAGCAACTGGATTATCATTCTTTTCTTCAAAAGACAAACAATCTTTAACATCTTCCTTGATTGCTAAATAAGTTTATAGTGGCATTTTAAGAAGTAAGGATAAAAAAGTTGGAATAAGAGAACTGTGAAAAAATGGCTAAATTTAAAATGAAGTTTTTTTATTAAAGTTTTTTCAATGAGACTTGACTGATAAATTGCTAAAACTTATTATTATCTGTTCGAATTATTTATCTATTTACATTCTGATAAAATCATTATCTCAAAATATTTATGAAAAACTTTTAAACTTAACACAGGAAAATAATAGTTAAGTTTTCTGATCTAATTACACTTTCAACAAAAAACTCAGTAAAAAATTGAAACACAAATATTTTGGGCCTAAACGCACAATTAACTGGGATGCACAACTAATTGGGTGCCCAATTAAGCAAGAGACTACTGTAATTCTTAAAGAATTTTCTTCAAAAAGAAAGTTTATTTTAATCAATATAATCTATGGTAAGATTTTTATCTATTCCTAGTTAGAAAGTTCCTGCCACTTACTAAAAGAAGTCTCCCTGAAACATGGATTGGTAAAACACCATCATTGCACTAATTGCATATTTGTGGGAACTTATTCTGAATAATGCCATAAAAAAAAATGAATATAATAATAAGTGGTGACACATAATGAAATGCTAATCTATGCATAAATTCTTTTTTTTTTTAATTCTTCTTTAGCTAGTTTTTATTGTTATATATATATTTATCTTGTGTTAAGTTATGTCATAAAATTTGCTTACTTAATCATAAATTTGTTGTCTTTTTGTTATAAACACCCCTCCTACCCCACAGATTCAGTTATTTTTGATGTTGCAAAATGTTGTATAGGTTGTAAGGGATATTGAAGAAAAGATATTAAAAGTGAGGACTTAGAATTTATTTGGTTTGTTAAATCTAAATTTAACAAACCAAATAAATCTGGATTTTAAAGGGATCCCAAACCTCTGAAATATGTTGTGTTCATATTAAAGAGAATGATAAAAAAAAATGTTTGGACTAAATTTTTTTGGTTTAAACAAAAGACATACCAAGAAAATTTTTTTTATTTTAGTCAAAGCTTACTTTCTCCGTTTTGTTGTAGGCCAAAAAATCTGCAGAATATACACCACAATCTATAGACTTGGTAATTTATTCCGCGCGTTTTATTCCTAAGAGTTTTGTTATGTGACATCATTAACTTTTTTGTTTGTTTACATAATAATTTTTTTACACGCAAAAAAAAAAAAAAATCAATGACGTCATGTACTGAAACTCTTAAAATAAAACGCACTTGAATAACTTATCAAGTCAGTAGATTAGGACGTATATCCTGTATATGCTGACTTTTTGACCTACAACAAAACGGAGAAGGCGAGCTTTGACTAAAATAAAGGTTTTTTTTGGTATGCATTTATTCTTTTGTTTTAACCAAAAAAACTTAGCCTAAACATTTTTTTAAATCTTTCTCTTTAGTACAAACACAACATGTGTCAGAGGTTTGGAATCCCTTTAAGTTACTTTACGAAATAAAATTTAACTTTCTGTGAAAACAAAACAACGCTACATGTAGAAATTGTGATTTTTGATTCATTGCATATAATTTGATAATTTCTTAGAAGAATAGAAATATTAATATTAAAATATTAATAAAATATTGAAAACAAACTGTAAACAAAAAACTTGAAGTTTAAACTTTGGTTTGCAGAAACAATATAAAAATGTGTTGATCTAGAAATAGAAATAAAATTAAAGAAAAAAAAAAAAAATATTTTTATATTTAAAATTTTTGATGCTATACAGTTTCTTTCTACTCCAAAAAAAGATATAATAAAATTTTGATTTTAAGCTAATCAGTAGCCACATAAAATGCAAACTTTCAGTTAAAAGAAAAGATTGTTAATCAACCTTTAAATCAACAATATCCTTTGATTTCACCAAACTTTCTGATCCTTGCTGTTCAACTTCATAATGGACATACTAAAAATTAAAATATATTATGCTTATATTGGTACCATGTTATTTATTGATATTAAAAGTGATTTTTAAGCTCATATAACACTTATATATACACATTAAGGAGACAAAATTTGTAAAAAAAAAAAAAAATAATAATAAAAAAAAAAAAAAAAACGCAATACATTTTCCTGTTCTACCAATCTTAAAAGTAAACAAAAAAATTTCAGATTTCTAAGCTGTAAGTGATTCAGATTTCAGTAAGTGCTCTGTGTAAATTGGAAAATTTTAATTTCTCTATATTTATTATTTTTTTCCTTTAAAGCATCTATTTATATATCCATACAAAATATTAAAAATCAAGGAGTGGAAATAAATGACACTCATAGATATGTATAAGTGCATAATTCGCCTTAAAGTTACAAGCCAACTACTATCTACTCATAGTATTCTTTGGAATTACTTGTATGTGACCTCAGCTAGAGATAAAATATTAAAAGAGCTATTAAATCAATTTTTGGTAGGATATTAACTGCAAAGGAAAGGAGATTTTTAATCCAAATACAGGAAAATACTGATCACTCCAACAAATTGTTAGTATTTGGAAGTCGACAGGTTTCAGTAATTATTTGATTTTTGAGAAAATTGTAGAAAAATTTTTAATATCTCACTTTTTATCAAGAATATGATCTCAAAAATGCAAGAAAAACGAATAATATAAAGATCGAGTACAGAAGAGCAACAGTTCAATATATCATGGCAATAATGAGGAAATTGGTGAAAAGAGGTCATTGAACCATAATTTATTCTTTACTATGAATTAAATCCTAATTTCTCAGATGAGGAATCTCCTGCACCTAAAAAAACAAGAGTTGTCAAATAATAATTTTAAATTATAATTACTTTTACACATAAAAGTATAAATTTTATTTTGGAATTGAAAAATGAGAAAATTTACCAATAACGGATATTTATAATAATTATAATATTAGTGGAAGGAGCATAAAAGGAAATTAAATTATTATAAGAATCTTTTAAAATTAATTATAGGCATGTTAGAATACATTTGGCTACATGAATGTTAAAGCAGAAAAATTAAAGCACTTTCACATCTATCAGTCTGGCGCATGTCACAATACAAGCTTAATGGCCTATGCCATATACTTTCTTAGCTCAATATGACAATCCTAAAATATCTGACTTCTAAAAAGAAAAATAGGGTCTCTAGGGAAGCATTTATTGTAGCTATTAACTATGGACCTAACTTTCTTTCATCCAGCAAAGCAAAATATACGAGTCTAAAAAGATTTAAATACATTTAAAAATGCTAAAACAATTCAAATAAATAGGATCATGAATTTGGAAACTCACTTCAGAAAAGCACAAGTAATCATACATGGAATGAATGGTTACATCTAATCATCTTTAAAATGCCATTAAAACAAGACATACTACAGGAGCGTGAGAAATCTCAGAAAAAAGTTTCATGTGATTCATTTTAAAACCAAAAAAAAAACTTTAACAACCAATCGTAAAAGTGGTAGTGGAAGGCCAGCTAAAATATTAAACAAGAAGGAACTGTGTTTACTTAATAGTGCTTTCAACAACAATGATCCAAGAAGTTAACAAGATGCCACAGAAAAGTTCAAATGTAGGCTGCATTATATCTGCAAAACATTGAAAAGAGCACCAGAATACACTGAGCAACAAATATCAACCGTGAAATCTCAATGCCGCTGGATGACCCAAAATTACTCTGGATGTTTTGTATTGGATGACAAAAGTTTCTTCCTCCTCTCCAAATTGCAAATTCCAAGAAATGATCGATATTATGCTGATTAAAATTCTACAACACCTCCAAAAATAAAATACAAATATAAACACAAGTTTGAGAAGAAAGTGATGCTGTACATTGCCATATCTGAGAGGACAATTTCCAAGCCATGGTTCAAGCCAAGTGGTTTAGCTATTAATCAAGAATTATACCAGAATCAATGTTTAAAGAAAATATTGATTCCACTTTTTCAAAAATATGTATTCCATTTCTTCAAAAATATCAAATGGCAAATACATGTTTTGGCCAGATAAAGGCCAAAACATGTATTTGCCATTTGATATTATGATGGACCATAAAAATGTTCATTGACTTTTTCTTAAGTATTTTGTATCTAACCTAATTAAATTTGGTAGAATAGGATAAGCAACTGTTGTTTTTGACTTTCTAAAATTTTCAATTTTTGACCCTATTTTGTGTCACCCTAATACACATATATATAAATACACACATAAATATATTTGAAAATAAATGCGAAATCAAATCTTTCAAGTGACCTTGCAGGTGTCCATATGAAAGCAAGTGTTTAAAAAGGAACAGTCACCCAAAAACTCTACAAAAAAAAAGAAAAAAATTCATAACTTAATTTTAAAATAAATTAAATATGTAAGAAATACATAAAAAGAATATTTACATTACCATCTGTATGTGCTTGAATTATTTTCTTAAAATGTAGCTATAATAACAAATATATAATATATATACATATAAATATAATATATATGAAGAAAAAAAACTACTGTATTATAGCTATTATATGATTCAGTTCATTACTTTCTTGATACGCACTCCAAAAAAGCAAAAATATATATTTTATATATATATATATATTATATATATATATATATACATATATATATATATTTTATATATATTATATATATATTTTATATATATATATATATATATATATATATATATATATTATATATATTATATATATATATTTTATATATATATATATATATTTTATGTATATTATATATATTTTTTATATATTTTATATATATTATATCAACCCTCGGAATTAGGGTTGGCATTTGGCAATGCCGACCTAACTGCCGATCTGAAAGTGTTTGAGGTCAGTAAAAAATTGCCGACCTCGTTTCTATGTTTTATGGTCAGACCTTTGTATCAAATAATTTTTGCAGACTTGATGCCGACCTAAAAAAGATTAAGGTCAGCAAATTATTGCCGTCCTCAAACACTTTCAGATTGACAGTTAGGTCGGCATTGCTAATTCCGAAGGTTGATTATATATATTTTCTATATATATTTTATGTATATTATACATATTTTGTTATATGTTATTTAAATTTTCTATATATATATATATGTATATGTATATGTATATATATATATATATATATATATATATATATATATATATATATATATATATATATATGCATATATTAGTCCTGGGAATCAGAAAAAAAAAACTGTTTTAGATTAGCATCAAGTCACTACAAATTTAGAAATCAGCATAAAATTGAGAGAAAAACAAACACTGAGTTCACCGAATTTTGTTTAACAATGAGTTTGTTTAAAATTTTGAAAAAGGAATGCACGATTTAATTGCTTAATTAGGATTTTAAATAAAACATCAATTTTGTCGATTTTATTTTAATTATTTTATATTTAAGATTAGTAAAACATTCATTTTTTGGTTTACAATTTAAAATAAAAGGTTCATATTTAGAATTTAAATGTTTGTTTTGCTTTCAACTTTAACTTATTCAATGTTCTTTAAGTATATTATTAATTAATATACTTAAAGTAACAATTATGAATGAAATGAAATCTAAATTTGTTGTAAGTTGACAAAATTAATAATTGAGTCAATTCTTTGGTATTGTTATTTAATTAAGCTTAACTATTCCACCAATTTAAGTTTATTTAAGTTTAAAACAAAATTAAATGAAACTTAAAATTAGATTAAAAATTAATTAAATGAAATTTTTCATTAAAAAATGAATTAAATTCATTTTTAAATGAAATTTAAAAATGAATTATTAGTTATACTGGTTAAACCAAAATAATATATGATAACCTCATATGTATTACTTTTTTACATCTTTTTCTTTCAGAGTTGCTGCGTCTGCATTCCTCTCTAGTGCCAAAGGGACAAAACTCATGCACCATGGCACCACCTTGCGATTTAAACTTTTCTATCAATGATTGCTCCTATAAAAAAATTATAAACTGTCTTTAAAAGAACATTAAGAGAAAGCATTCATCTGAGCCTGAGAAAAAAATTACTATTAAATAAAAAGATAAACATTTATAACTTTTTGCAATTATTAAAAATCCAATATTAAAAATTAAGCATATAAAGCATTTTTAAGATTTTAATAATAATTTTGTGCAGAAATTATGTATATTATGCTTTTTCTCCTTTGCGGATTGTTTGTTATGATTTAGCGTTAGATTTTTTATGTTTTCTTGTTTTGGTGCCATGTTACAGCTGATTTTCATATTTAAGTAGGAGGGATTTTGTCATAAAATTCTCTGTTTTTCCACCACAAAAAATGCAATAAATAATGTAATAATGACACTCTTGCACTATGGTCACAAAAATGGGGAATGAAACTCAACATTGATAAATGCTATGTACTACACTTAGGACACAACAACATATCCTATATGTACACTATGTATGATTCAGGTCAAAACAAAAAAATCAGTGTTAAGCCCACAATTTGTGAACAGGAATTAGGTGTTTTAGTAGATTCCAATTAATTATTTTCAAAACAAATAAATATTCAAGTCAACAAGATCATCTTATCCAAATCTATACTCATTTAAAAAGCTATTCTCAGCTCTAATCCGCCCCATTTAGAATATTGTGGATCAATCTTTACACTGCGGCTTCTCAAAGACAAACATTAAATGGAAAATGTACTAAGATCTTCTAAAGGAATTAAACAACCTCCCTATGAACAAAGCAAACTTAATATGACAAGTGTAAAAAACAGACTAATTTTATACATGCGGTAGTGGTGTAGTAGTAGAGCGCTTCATAAGTGAGAGGTTCCGAGTTTGATTCCCACCATGTCCCTGATAGTACTGCACTTAACTTGTTTCTCCGCGCAGTGTCCTTGTTCGTCAAGGTTCATGTTTCGGAGTTATAGAGTTGAGAGAGGGTTATAACCACAACTAGCCCCTACTCATCTGTAGTGGCCTTCTCGGCCTTGTGAGGGTGAATTACGAAAAAAAAAGAAAAAAAAAAATCATGGAGATCTAATTAATGTCTTCAAATGGTATTTGTAGGTTAGAACTTAATGTTTGTCTGATATATAGCTTTGTATAAAATAAGTTTTTCTTTCTTTGCTTTTGATGTTATAAGAGAGGGTGGCAACCTCCTTCTCCCCCTTACCTATGGATCTGCCCCTAAAATATAGGGTAAACTGGGGTAAAGTGAACTGGGGTAAACTTTACCCCTAGTAAAGTAAACTATTTTTTTAAACTAAAAAGTTATCATTTTTAAAAAACTTTTTGTTAAGTAATTTAGCATTATTTTTGCTTAATACAACATTTTAAAATTTTTAAATAAAAAAATTAATAAAATATAGTCTTCAGATAAAACTTTTTTTTTCTAAAACGCAATGATTAAAAATCAAGTTTATCTAATCTAAATTTGAATAGCATAAATTTGAAAGAAAAGTTGCATAACTTTATACGCAAAGAATATTGCAAAGACTTTTATTTTTTATATCTTTTTAAATTTTTAAAATAGAAGTAGAAGGTCAACCATAAAAAATTAGCAAAAACTGAATTGTTTTTTGAAAATAAAAAGATAAACAGGCTAAAGGAATACTGCTACTTAAAAGGCTTTATAAAAAACAAACTGGGTGATCAAATTTTGAAATTTTCTACTTTACTCTAAAACGCAGTGAATAGCTAGTTAAAAAAAATTCTAAAAGCAGTTAATAAGTATACCTCAAAGAGGTTGAATGATTGTTTAATTCTTGCTAAAGTATTTTGGCAAAGTTGGCCTCAGGACTTCAAAAAAGAGAAAAGTATTATGTGTTTGGTTGATGATGGAAAATGATTAGTATTAATTTTCTAATTAAGTTGTTGCAGTTGGAAAGCTTTGGAAAAAACTTAATTTCAACAGTAGATGTATACTTAATTATTTAAACCATATAAAAAATGAAGGTTTGCGTAGTTTAAAAATATTTTGGAAAATTATTGTGCAATTATTTGTCCAAAAAGTTGAAACTATAGAAATATAGTTGAAACCAGCTACAAAAACAAATGGATAACAATGGAAGAGCAGCAAACTTAACATCAGGTGTGCAAGATGAGTTCTATTTTAGTTTGATTAGAGTTACAAGGCAGCACATTTAGCTGTGAACTAGACATTATTGAAGTAGATAAAGATATGTTATAATAAAAATAATTCGAAAAATGAGGTTCTTTATTTTAGGGATACAATGTAGGTCATTGTCGCGGAGGTCTATTCTGTTTAAATACATGATTGTTGGTATAAAAATAAAAAACCTCCATCTTATGTCTACCAAAGAACACGCTCATAACCTAGATGTTCTACATGGAAAGTTCTCGCAGCAATCTCTATCACATATGATGACTTTTATAGTTATTGTCCATTTTCAATAGTAAATAACAAATTGTATGAATTATTTTCATATATAATGCTTAATTTTTTTTGTAACATGTAAATCATAAGGTATATTATTGATAAATTAAACAGAAAAATATTACTACTTTTCCACTTTTCTTTTATTTAATGATAATAATAATTTCATCTACTTTTAACAATGCCTTTCTTTGTCAATATATTCACTTTTATTAAAATCGAAGTAGAAGGCTAAATAATTAAAATGAAAAAAAAAATGATAATGATTTTGAGAATCAGCATGAAAAACTAATTTAGAAAAATTGGTTAAACTATAAAAAATCTAAAAAAAGATGATTATGGACCCCCCCTACTTTAAGTCAGCTGATTTAGTACAATTGTTTGCCAAAACTGGAATTTTTCCTTTAAATCCTTCTGAAATCTATGAACACCCTTTTTCTCAGAAAACAAATAGTTATATAAAACTAGTACATAAAACTAGTATATAAAACTAGTATATAAAACTAGTATATAAAACTAGTATATAAAACTAGTATATATAACTAGTATATAAAACTAGTATATTATATAATATATTATATAGTATATTACCTTGGCAGTTTTTTGATTAAGGAGATCAAGAATTTCATTGCCAATTTTTTTGTTCTAAATAAAAAAAACTTTAAAATTTTACTATGAATTTATTTAAAAATTAAAGCTGTTCTATTAATTACAAAAAAAACTGTCTGTATTATCTTTGTTGCTTACTAACAAATCGCTACTTACCTCGGACTCTCTCATAGTTGGAATTGATAACAAACTCTAAAGAAAAAATAAAATCTATATAAAAATTAACTAATTTTGCCAGCCTGATAGGTAAAACTTTAAGGCTGATTTAGTTTAGCTGCTGTTTTGTTCAGTTTTGTGGGTTAAATAAGCATACAAAGGTCTGACAAATTGTAATATAACTTTCTTTTTTACTGTTTTTTTTTTATTTGTATTCTTTTCTTTAACTATACATCTGTTTGCATAAATAATGTCACAACAGTCTAACTCTAACATCAAAAAATTTTAAAAATTCTTTGATGTTGGAGTTAGACTGTTATGGGCTAGTTTGACCATACACTTTTTAATCTTGTTGATTAAAAAGCACATTGTAAAACTATCAACTGACCTAAATGTAAACTTGTATTGCATTATTTCTTATGTAGGATGATGAACACTTGATCTTTTAGACTTTGCTTACAGGTTTCTGGTTGTGTCTCCATAACTATGCAACTCTTTAATCTAAAAAATGAAGGAAGAAACTATAAAACTCTGCTCAACTGTTCTGAGGTCGGCTGATAGTAAGGTCTAAACTTCCAAATTCTGTGGAAGCTCTCAGAGAGACTGATTCCATCAACAGCTGTAAAACAACAGTGTCATAAAGAGGATTTTTATACAATTATTGATTTTATAAACTTGCTCTTGGTTGATTAACGGAGGCAATTGCACAACTCAAATGCTTAACTTAACTCTAAAGGTTTCATGCACTATTGAGTCAAGTTCTTGAATAATTAAAACATGATTATAGTACCTAATAATATTAAACATAAAAACACATCAAATTATTTCGATCTACTTATGAAAATATTCTATTTTTTATTCTTTTAGTCTTTGAAGTAACTTTTTATCCATCAAATTTTATCTCTGACAAATATCACTTGATCTCATTGCACCAGATCTCTTTGCACCAGAACTGCATTCTCTTGATCACCAGATCTCTTTGCAAAATCCATTTAAATTTAGCTGTTTAATCTTCAAATCTCAGTGTTGATGGTTGTTATCTTTTAATTTGAAAAAAACAAATGTTTGGCATAGATTTATACTTACATATCAACTCACTTATTTGTAATGAAATAAGATTTGAATCCTTTGACAATTTTCTATGTGTTTTTTCAATTTGGTCAAAATCAAAGAGTACAATTATCGTAATATTTATAATCCCATAATACTCATAATATAAATAATATTTGTCGCCATACTATTGTAATCAGAAATATTACCTCACCATAGTATAAAACTTGCATATTTAATCCATTTAAAATTATTTTAAAATTGCTTTTAAAAAAAAGTTCTTTTGTCTACAAGCTACACTAAAATTAGTTACAAATTTAAACAAGTTAAAAATTTTCTGTAAAAATTGTTTTATGAAGATATTGAGATTATGAGATAGGATGACAATAAAGTGAAATTATTTATTAAAAATACTTATATCAATCCTCCCCCCCCCTCCCCTCCATCCTTTCTTTCCTAAATTCAATGATTCTTCTGTTTAGATTAGCAAAAATAAATAAAGAAATAGAACATAAAAACTATGACAAAAAATCCAAGTACATGAATCTTTTGTAAGTTGTATACACTGTGTTTTGATCATTCATTTATTCTGTAGGTCTGGCTCTGATGTGCTAGCCCATAAGCGCAAGAGTTTAGCTTATGGTCAGGATTATTATCTAAAATATTTATTGAAAAATCTTTTTTTTAAAAATGCACCACTAACTTCAATTGGACTAAAAAAGAGAAAACATTCTTTTCTTATTGAAACACAAGACCACTGAAAAAGTGGGGCTTACACATTAGCTAAGGAGAAAATCAAATGAGTCAAATATAAAGAAAAAAATATTTTCTATTTTTTAGTCCGATTGAAGAAAAAGTTTTTTTTTAAAAAAAACTTTTTTTAAAAAACTTTTTTTTAAAAAAGATTTTTTTAATAACTATTTTTACTTATCTACTTTCTCTTAAACTTTTCTCTTAAATTTTTTTCACTTTACTAATTTTATTATCAAATTAATTCATGATATTTCTGCATGTAATTTCCTTAATCACTATTTTTTGAGATTTAACACATGTTTTTTGAGGTTTAACACGTGTTTTTTGAGGTTTTAAAGTCAAATTTGAATGTCGCATGCTTTTATCATTGGTTTCACATTCTTTATAGAAATTTATTACAATATAATACTATGTTTCTGTAACGGTGAAACCATAATTATTTTAACTAATTCGGACTTACAAATGTAAAAATTAAAGAACTTTCAAAAATTAATTTAATAAAAGTTAATAAACAATATAATAAAGAATTGAAAGATTTAGAATTGAAAAGTTTGACACGTTTAAAAAGTTATGCAAAGTACTTATTTAAATTATCTGCAAAAAACAAAAAAACAATTTCTGCTATTGAATTTGAAGCTAAGTTTAGTGACTTTTTTCTAGAACAGTTAAAAAAGCAGTTTAAAAATAATCCTACCATGTCACATCAAAACTAAATCATCATGAAATTTTTTTTAAAAAATCAATAAAAATCAACACAAACGTAACTAATTCAAATACACACAAACAAACAAAAAAATTGTTTTGATATGAGTTCAATAATTAACACTAACGAGTTTGTGAGAATGTGTTTTACTATAAACAAAAATGAAACAGAATCTTTAACACCATGATACAAAACTTGATCTTTCAACCATAAAATGCAAAAATAAAAATAAAGATTACTTTACTGTTCAAGAAATTAATGAACTTTAAGAGAAAATGATTTTCTTTATATTGTATTATTTTCTTCATAAGCATTTATTCTTTTATACGTCTATAATACTGAACTTCCAAATGCTTACAATTAAGAAAACCCAATATTAAACATTTAAAACTAACAAACAAATTAAATAACATACAGCTATTAAATCCTTTTGATCATCTGCTTCTGGCTTTGCAATATCTCGAGTTTTTTTTACATCACTGACCAAAAATAAGAAAAAATATTTAAAAATAATTATTGATTATAAATTTATTTTTATGATTAAACAACTTTGTTTATATTATTTTTATTCCAAACAAATTATTAAAATATAAAACTAATTATTATTTTAATACATATAGTTAACTTTAAAAAAAGTTAAAAATACTTTATATTTTAGGTAATTACCTAGTTTCAATCACCACAGCTTTATCAGGATTTGCTGAAAAATCAAAAACTGTTTATTAGTTATATCAAAAATACGTGACCACATTTTTTTCAAAACTTCATTTCATGTTTCCCAAATTAAACTTTATTCATTAAACAAAATAACAAATAAATAACCTAATGAGCGGTTACCAAGCAAAGCACGAAGCTAAAACAACATTAAAATATCTCAATCAGTATAACTATATAACAACTATTATGAAATACTAGCCTTCCTTTCAAAATAAGTCCACAACTAATTTAGATGGTAGTGATACAATCCTTGTTAAGATTTATGTTTTAAGCTTTGATGTTAAGAAAGAAGGAAGAAGAAAAATTTATTAGGTCAAACATTAATTAAAAACTATTACTTTCACGTATTCACAATCAAATATGGTGACAAGCTCGCCAGTCCGCTTCACGCTAAATAAAAAATCATTAAAAAAAAGTAAAAACTTGATATAAAATAAAACCCCTAGAAATCAAACTTTATAAACTTTGAAAATGATGCAACTAACCTTACTAGATTCTGTGCCTCTAATTTTTCAATTACAATCATCAGGCTTGATTTATTTACAGAATGTCCTTTCAACTAAATATATATATATATATATATATATATATATATATATATATATATATATATATATATATATATATATATATATATATAACATTTCAAGAATTTCTTTTAATCCAAGTTATATTTCATTTAACTCAAGTATTGCATTTTTTTTTTTTTAATATGGAGTATTTCCTAAAGTGAAGTTTCAGAAAATACCTAAATTAAATAATGCAAGATGAAATTCCTGAGAATAATTAATCTTTTTTTAGCATTTAATTTTCTACTGGGAATTTTCTACTAAGAATTGTATATTACGCTTTAATTAGACTGAATATTACACAATACTCTTTTTTTAGTGGCCTTTTGTACCTGTAGATTTGATATTTAAGGTTGTAATTTTATATTTATTTCTAATTTAGAGTTTTATGATGTAACATTAAATTACTAAATGTTTAATAACTCTCCAAATAAAAAAACTACAATTAAAAAATAACAATCATAATATTGCTTGAAATTTTATCTATAATTTTGAATTTTGGTTTGTGGGTGACCTTTTTAACAAGAAAATCAAATGCCTTTTTTTATTACTTTTGCACAAATATTCAAAGATTTATGACATGGAACATGGAACATGGAATGCCACATAGATGCCACCCCTCATAACATAACTAGTAATTAATTTAATGATATATTTTTCTTTAATACTATTTTCACACTTTAATTTTTAAATGCCAACTTTAAAGCAGATAGTGTTTTCTATATGTTTATATAATATATAAACATATAGAAAACATAAATACACTTACTTTTGCTGGTTTAGGTCGACACCATCCGTATATTTTGCATACTTTAGGTTTAAAAATTCAGATTAAAGTTCAAATCAAAACAATTTTTAGTTATAATATTATAATTAGTAATACCACCTAAAACTCTGTTTTTGTTTTTTTTTAACATCTTTGCTTCCAACAGGGCTGCAAACAACCACTATTAGAGATGCAAGTTACTGGAAGAAAAAAGATGAAGATTGTAGAGCAAGATAACAATTGATTGACGACTTAAAAGGTTGCAAATTATATAAATCAGATGAAGGAAGCAAATTCCAAAGAACTGATGTTCGAGGAAAAAAACTAGACGAAGAAAAGTTTTTGGAGCATTTTGGAAAAATCACAGAAAAAGGATGACAAAATTGAATGACAAGTAACACAAGAATCAATTTTAGTAGATGGCACAATGGATGCTAGCTCTTTAAAACAGTGCCCA